CTTTTTTCATAAATAGAAATATTTTTGCTGAATCATACACAGTTTTATTATGTGAAAAGATGGCAAGGGAGCTGGCGGTTCACCTGATGTTAAGTGATAACCGCCACCGTAGGATATTTGTAACACTCGTTGGGTTTCAGATGCGTTGCCACATTTTAATAATTTGAGCCCCGGTTACCACACTCACCAGACGATAGGCCACACCTGTCTTCTGTGAAGTCGTCGTACATCTCCGACAGACCTGCCCAATAGTGCAACAGCAAAGACTGTTGTGTGGCAAATATTTATATGCTTAGTTCCGAGGCACTACTACGCATGGCGGGCATTAATTAGTGATAAATTTAACCGTTACAAGTTTATTGTCTAACTATAAAACCAGTCAATAGTTAATCAATTCAATTCCCATTTGAAATAGCATTCGAATAAAAGACGGCCATTTCTATTATACTTACTAAAGGAGAAAGTTATAGTAGAACGGCTCAGTATACTTCGTTCCGGCTGAACCGTTTTCATACGCAAGTACTAAAGAATATTGGACAACTAAGCACCACTGGAATTGTATTTTTGATGTGTATTTAGTAATAGATAACGTCACGACCCAATTATACTTCGGTAACAACTTCTTTCGGTACTTTCAAGCTCGTGTTGAAATTGTTTCCGACCTTCGTACCTATACCTAATAAACTAATAATGGATATGGAAGTTTTTTTCTAAGCAATATGATCTAAGGCACCAAATAAGATATTACAAAACTTTGTAACTTAAAAGCTGTAACCTCCGTACCAAATAAAGCGGTGACAAAACTCTTACCTGCCTAATACGTGTAAAGTTTAGTTCCTGTCTTCAGAAAACGCCGTGAATACGTGCAGGAACACCTTAGGCTCTATTTTATATGTGAGAAGGTGGCAAACGCGCTGGTGGTTCACCTGATGTTAAGTGATAACCACCGCCCATTGACATTTGCAACACCTGGAGAGTTGCAGATGCGTTGCCACCTTTCAATGAAATGGGCCCCGGCAACCCCACTCACCAGACGAAAAGCGGAAATATAACACTTCCACTTCACGCCGGTCTCCTGTGAGATCGTAGTAGTTACCGTAGCCATAGTCTTACGTAGACGGACCAGCCCATTCGAGTATAGCTACGATTTTTGCGTGGTCGCATGGTCTACCTTGGTAATCGACCCTTCGATACACATACCGTGTGATTAAAGTTTCAACGAAATTCATCGCTGCAATATATCGATGCGACCCCCTTCGTCATTTGATAACGTACTTATAAATATGAACTGGAACTACAACAAAGCCAAATTTAAATCCGAACGCGGTACAGAGGATGGATGGATATATTTTTAAAATAAACTTTCATTATTATCAGAAATACATCAATTAGTAGCACTTCATTTTACCCTTTTCAAGGTAAACACTCAATAACATTGGAGAGGCACAACTTAAACATAAACTCCCCATTCCAAAGGCATTTGTGTGAACACTTACCGGTCGAACACCACGGAGACTTGGAGTTCGACTGGTAAACGTAAACAAATCCGAAGCCAAGCGTCGTGAATCGCTCGTGTACAGTTAGTGGGACTTTTCACTTTTTGAGACCCCCCCCCCCCCCTCGCCGCCGGCCCGCCCCCCGCGCGGTGGTGACCGCGAAACCTCCTTTCAAAGTCAAGTACGGCGGCGCGCGAATGAGAATCGTTTCGACAAGCTTAAACGCCACTTAACACAGATGTCTAGTTGGCCTGCACTGTTGTACTAATAACCCCGAAAAAGTGACCACAGAGTCCCCCGTTCGCCACTGAGTAGCCTTAAGCGATGAAATTCAGCGCTGTTGAATGGACGTGGAGGCTAATCTTTGCTATTTCAGATCGATCTGATAAAACTATCGTCGCGACGTTCATTACTAAAAAAGTAATGAACGTCGAAGTAAGGTACAGAACTTATCTGGCGGTCGTCGTATTCTTAATATAAAAGCAATAAAAAAAGTAACAGCCTATACATGTCCTAGGCATGTCCCACTGCTGGGCACACGCCTCCTATGTACCGAGGGTATCAGGGCATAGTGCACCTCGCGGCCCCACAGCGGATTGGCGGACTTCACACATCTTCGAAATGATTTTTTTGTATTTATTTCGAAAATATGCAGGTTTCCTCTCAATGATTTCCTTCGCCGCTGAGCACATTGTATGTCTGTCTGCACTTAAAATTAAAAATTTCATCGGTGCCGGCACCGGGTATCGAACTCAGGTTGCTCGAGTATATTGAATTAAGGGCGGGCACCCGGACACTGAGCTACCCCTAATACTTCTACTAATAATATGTAGAGAAATGAAGCGTTAACCGTTTACTTCATTTCATAAACATAACAAAATGAAAAGAAACGTAGATAATAAAATATTAGGGGCGGTAGGTATAGGCCCCTTGGGTAGATTATTTAATATTTTAGTTATACTAATCTATTCCTCTTAGTTACCTTTCCACTGTTTCTCGATTGGCGTTGAGAAAAATAAGGTGAAAGCTTATTCCGAAAGGAATATAGAAATTCCTCATTTGACTCAGCCTTTTTATTTTCATAAATGATCCAAACTTTTTTCTATATTCATATTTTTTTAATTTCTTATACGCGTATTTAAGAGTTGTCTTGAAAAGCTCGTTCAACGATTGTAATTAATATTGCAAAAGCGTTCCGAGTGAAGAATTAAACCCGAAGGCCTGTGCCGCTAGAGAAATTTTAACAATTAACAAGTAACAACCGAACAGAATTGCCCCCGTTGCAATAAATAAATTATTTACGGTTTACCACAAAAATTGACATTTGTTTAAAGATCTATTATGATCAATATCGCTAAATAGACAGACTGACTGATTCATTGCTTCACGTAAAATTGTGTGATGGGCTAAGGCTTATATGAATATTAAACTTATAATGTGTTGATTAACACTTAATTATAGTCACTTAAATAATCATCAAACGTTGGTATCTAAAACGGACTTAAGTAAAGTTGACTTAATGAAAACGCCGTCCTGTTCAAATGCGCTGGCATATAAACAAAAAGTTAGCAATGTGCTAGACCTGTAGATGTACAAAGTAAACAAGTGGAATATAATTTAAAAAACTAAAAAAAGCCCGAGTGCGTTTCTGTGTAATTGTTTTATTTTAATAGCAGTGTCACTCTCACAGTAATTACGAATCTAATGACACCTCTCAAGCTAAAATCCATCACGAGCATGCCGAACAATTGAACTTTCAAAATACATAACCTTCCTTCTGGCGCAGTCGGGTAAAAAGTTAAGTAACAGTCTATAAAAGCCCCATTGCTGGTATAGAACATAGTCTAGCACGCGGCCCCACTACGGATTGGCAGACTTTACTTTTAACTTAAACTTTTATGCCAGTTAACTTATACTTAACTATGATTAATTTCATTCTCCCTGTTAGCCTTTTCCACGTGTATTTGTCTAAAAAAATATTCTAAGCAACTATCCGTTAAGTGTCAAGGCTATCAGTATAAAAGGTCATTCAAACATATATAACAAAGTCGCGTTCTCTTCGTTTGCTTACTTTCTTCGCTTGCGTCACGGCTGAGTGAGTCAGTAGCATCCGTGAGTAGCAGGATGCTGGGTTCGAAACCAGGCCGCGATCAAATTCCAAGCTATGTTCGCTTGGCGCCCGAAACCCTTCAAGCCCGATAAGTTTTGGCGGACAAGGCTTCTTTCTAGCAATTTCATTTGGGATCCGTGACAAATTGGCTCGCATAAGAATGTTCTGCGATATTAAAATTTCCTTTATGCAACATAATTTGTACGCCAAATTATTAAAATAATTTTTTGTAATTAATATATGTCTTTTTTAATAAAGTTTTATTACTATTAGAAATACATCAATTAAGTGGTACTTTACTCTTTTCAAAGTTGGCATAGTAAAAAATATAAAATTCACTAGTGAATAGAATTTCCCAACGCTGAACCCTTACCTTTTGAGGTTACCAGTTTGTCTTCGGTGTATAATTTCAACATAACTCATCGGGATGAAAGTGATTCTTCGACTAATTGAAAATTAAAAAAAACCAAAGACTTGAAAAATTTCTATTTCCCAATATCAGAACATAATATATTCAGTTCTTGCTTCCACCTTTTGCTTTCTTTTTTAATCGTGAAATAATTTCCCGATTAGATTATTCATCGATGTCGCTTATAATGGCGGCACGATTCTTTGATGTCTTATCAATCTCTTCGGATCGTAATTTCGCGAAGTTCGTTACAGGGTCATTAAAGAAATTTATTATTAATTAAGAAGTATTAAGCGAATGCAGCAATTAAAATGCAAACATAAAAGAGCGTTGCTAATTAATCGATGCTTTCCTAACAGTATTTAAGCAATTTATGTGTACATACTCACGGTGGTACCCTCATGGTGTAGTCAGAGTTTGGGTGTTTTCTCGTTTTTACGTTCTTCAATGCATATACAAGCATTACGTGTACGCAATAAGCGGTTACTGGTACTACTTACCTCACTCTCTTTTAGTGGATTGCCAAGTAGAGTCGAAATATCACTACATAGTATAAAACAAAGTCGTCCCGCCGTCTGTCTGTCCGTCCCTATGTATGCTGAGATCTTTAAAGCTACGCAACGCATCTTCATGCGGTTTTTTTTACTAGCTAGAGTGATTCAAGAGGAAGGTTTATATGTATAATACATTGCACAAGTGCGAAAAGGGGTGGGTCGCTGGTAAATGATATTTCCTATGGAAAATTTACATACGAGCTGGTGGTTCACCTGCTTTTAACCATCACTCACGTTCTATCTACAAAAACTGTGCGGCTGCAGTTTTATATCTTTTTGATTAGTACTTCCCCGGTTCAGCTTGCAAGATAGGCAGGATAAAATAATAAATAAAAAAAATTAAAATGATAAATGAAATTTAAATCAATTTTAATATAACTGATGGTCTACGCAAGGAGGTCAACGAACCCGCCACGACAAACCGTACGTTAATGTAAGCTTGGTGAAGTAATACACCCCGCGTTGGAGGCGGGTAGAGACAATTGGAATACGGATAATTGTCCGCGGAGATGGCCGCCGGCGCGGCTCCCAAAAGGCCGATTGGGGTCAGCCGCGGGTCCCGTTAACCCGGGAGTCAAACCTGTTCCGGGCGACTTTTCGGCAGGACCGAAGAAGGCGCCCTCGACCGCTCGCACGTCGGCTGACATCGACGAGAATTTTCGATGCCTTAAGATTGACCAAAGCTTATCGCGATTGAGATTTTACTAAGATGCACTGTAGCTTATATGAAGGTCGCTGAACGGATTTATAATTAATTAAGATGTATTAAAAATACATGTGAACATAACACAACAACGTTGTATAAGGTTAAGTAATAAGTAATAAAGTTTCATTTTAAGAGTTTAATTTTCATCTCTTGGTGATTTGCCTCTGAAAAATGGTGTTCCACTTTAAAACACATGAACTTACAACTACTATCATATCAATTTGAAAATTAACTCCTCAACTATTAACTTGATAGTTGTAAATGTTTTGATGTGATATGTTACCTTCTTCTAAAATAATATTGATTACTGCTCCGAAATACTTTATAGTGATGCCACTCCACATCCATGTATCGTGAATTAAATAATTCATCGTTTTTGTAAATCATTCACTCATAAATTAACTTTTTTCGCTTGCAGGTAGATAAAGAAAGCGCTGGTGAATACGTGGATGAGTGAGTACAACTAACTTTATTGCGGCTATAAATTAATGTTAAATGAAAACGGAATTCTAAGACAAATTGGGTTGAATAGCAGAAAATTAAAGATACGCTATCGTCATCTGCGATATCAATGGCCCCATATTGGCTTACTGTTTAATTAATACTGTTTATTTATTTAATTATTTTTATTTAAGAATAAATATCCTACTTATACAAATTGATCAACTCACAATCCACACACTGATAAACAGAAAAACACCGATCCTGAATTAATATTAGAAGTTTTCACCAGAACTTCTTCAGTGATAGCTACAAACTAACAATTAAAAACTATACTTTATAATTTCGATTATTAATTTCAATCTAAGACGATACTAAGTTTCATTTCAAGACTAAAACATGTTGTTTATAACTAAAATTGAGTTCATTATCATTCTAGAAAATAATTACATTGTATATGCATATGTCTGTAGATTTAACAATCTATTAGGAACAGAAATTTTAATGAATAATACTAGTATTCTAAATTCGACCATAATAATCATTATTGATGAAAATTTTGATAGTTTTTTCAAATTTTTTACTAGTTTGCAATAACAATTTACGACAAGTAATTTTTTTTTTTCAACGTAAGAACCATGCAATTAAATGTTGTTCTTAATATATATATTTTTAAGCAATGAATTATCTGCAAACATTTTAAGGAGTCTGAATATCCGAAACACCGCTTTCAACGGATGCCGCGCTCATTGGTTTACCCGATTATTTACAACACTACGTAGACAGTAACGGTATAAATATAATGAAACACGATCGAAAACTCGTACGTTTGTCCATATCGCAGTAATGATCAATATACGAATCTATTGTGCATTCCGTTATGTTGACAGAGCGTGACTGCACAGAAATAAACTCTCCAATAACAGGCAAATAGAATAATGAAATGATTGACCCCCTTAGCGACGCCGGATGCCATTTGGCGAATCTGACTAAATGCGTTTTTTTTAAGATATCACTATAACATATCTTCGACGTTCGACGGTCGAAAATTTTAGAAAATTTCTTTCTGGCACTGTAGATAGTATGAAATTTGAAATATACCGCGTTGTCTGCTTATCTTGCAATTTCTCCGGCTTGGTTTCTTTGCGGATTAAACAACTCATTGCGTAGGTAAAGAGGTGAGAGGCTTATTCAAGATTTTTTTTTCATTCTTCGTTCGCACCATAGTTGGTTAAAGTATATAATATGGCATAACGTGTCTTGAAAAATTCAATGGTTCTTAATTGTCCAATTCTAATTAAAAGCAACTCCAGCATCATAATAATTGATATATGAGGTCTCCGTGGCGCGTTTGCTAAGGTATTGGCTTCGGCGTCGGGTGTCGTAGGTTCGATTCCCACACGGGACAATCATTTGTGTGACCAACAGATAATTGGGCATCTGGGTGTTTGTCCACGTGAAATTTATGTTTGTAAAACGTCCTTAAAACACATGACAATGTTATACTAAAGTGAGGGCAATGATTTTTAGAAAAAATAAATATATAAATAAAAATTTATCATTACACCACTTGAGCGTGTGCACGTGACGGACACCACGGGCACTCCGCAAGTGCGGCTCGTAAACCCACTTTTGGAGGCTTCGCTTTGTGGGAAGTGTCCTAAATTTGCCCGTATAACACTTTGCCCACACTGTTTTTATTATTCAAGTGAAGACTTTTATTGCACTTAATGCTTTCTGTGTTTACCTTAAAATAACTTCTCTGTTATATTTCTGTTGTTCTAAATATTGTTTCATATTCGTTCGGTTTGTAAAGAATCATCGATGAACTTAAAAAGACCCCAATTAGTTACCTAGTCTTTAATTTCAGGCGAACACCATCACTTCGTTGTTGAGCGTCACTGGAGTGCTAATTAAATACATAACAAACGCATTTTAATGGAGCTAATTAAATGTTTTTGAGGTTGGCTTATAACAGAATAGTAAGATATGCCGTTAAGTGAATCCATAACCGACTCAGCCAATATAAATTCATTAAAAGCAATTAGGAAGATCATCATTAGGGTATTAGAGTTGTGTTATATAGTATACGTTTACAATTACTATATTAAGAATGATTTTACTATATTTTTATTTGTTATTACTATGTTAATATAATTTCAAATGACAAAATTTAGTACACCCATTTAATAGATTTATCTATAAAAATAGAACAAGGCTTTGAAAAGACTTGTCTATTAAGACAAATGTCATAAAGCAGTTTGTTACTTTACGAAAGTGTGCCTTCACATAATCTAGAGATATTAATGGTACTCTTATGGAATTTTTAGCGAATCTTGCTATATATAATTATCATTTCAACCTGCTCGATTGTAATGCTGAACATAGGCAGTATGCCAACAAATTGTTATTATGCCGGGACGATTATTTGTTAATACAAATAATCTTCCCGGGTGGGAATCGATGCAAGTAAAGTATCGGTCTATACATATCCCACTGCTGGGCAAAGACCTCCTCTGTACAGAGGATATCAGGGCATAGTTCACCACGCGGTACCAGTGCGGATTGGCGGTCTTCACATATCTTTGACATATTTTTTTTAATTGTTATTTAGAAAATATGCAGCCTCACAATGTTTTCCTTACCCGCTGAACACGTGATAATTCGGCACTTAAAAATAACAATTTCATTGGTGCCGGTACCGGGGATCGACCTCGACACTGAACTATCACGGCTCTTATGCAATTAACAACCTTTGTAATAACAAATAATAGTCCCCGGGCGGGAATCGATGCAAGTAAGAACCTTTGTAATAACAAATAATCGCCCGGGCGGGAAAAGTAACGTTTGGACTCTGTGCTTGTAAAATGCTTCTATAACACGGAATCGACTAACCCTGCAGTGGTGGTGATGTTCTTTTAAAGGAATGACGATAAATAGAACATAATAACAAAGAAACCGAGTTCTGTGTAAACTTGAAATAGAGCATCGCTAGTTGTTTTGACGAAAATACGAAAGAACGCGATGTATCTCGCATTAGATCAAAATCTGCGTGGTGTACGTGCCCCCGAGCATGGGTCTTCCAGACTGTTACTGAAGTTCTTCGAATTTGTATGGTGGAGTAATAGCGGTAGTCGTGTGCAGTTCAGTCCGTTTATTAATTATTTTTTTTATTTAATTGGCGTTCAAAATTAATTCTTTAATCCAACCAACATTTATATAATAAACCTAGTCCACACGGCACGTGCCAAGAACGCCAGCTGCATTTCTTTGCTAAATAGTTACGCTTAACTTGAGCGAGAAAGGAACCAGCCTGTTCTGACCAGCCGTGGTGTTAAGCCTAGGAAGTAAACCTTTTGAAAATATCTATGTACGCAGACCCCACGGAAAAGTAAAAAGTAGCAGCTAAAGTTTCAACAGCAAATGCACAAATACATAACCTAAACAAAGATAATAATATTTGCACCACTTACTTCAGCTGCCTGTGGTGCCGATTATTTATTAGATAAAACCGAGTGAGAGACCTGGTAATTAGTTTTATGACGACAAGACAATTGTTAATTGTAATGTTTTCTTACTTTAGTTTCACTGCCGCACTGACACAGCACCTTTCGAATTATTTCTCTGCTAAATATGTTAATTAGAGTAATGAGTACTGAGAAAAAGTAATTTAAGAAATTTTCACAAATAAAAACGTCGATAGGAACAAACTGACAAGATGAAAACTCATAACAATATAGAGTAGGGATAGGTATTTCAAGAGAAAATCATATTCAAAGATATATAAAGATAAGGTGCATAACCTACTTATTTATTAATATACTAATCTTTACAGATATTTATGTGCAAACTTTACTGTGTCTGTTTGAGATGTTTAAGTATTTTCATTGTTTTTAAATTGTAAATGTTTGTAGATAACTAAACATAAAGCCGTAATATCTCAGTGTCCGGGCCTATAATTTCCATACCCGAGCAACCTGAGTTCGATCCCCGTGTCGGCACCAGTAGTACTGTTACTTTACTTTTTATTAAATGTATATAGAGGCCTCTTTCTCTTAATTAAATTTTACTTAAAGGTGCAGAAACTTATCTTTGGAGGACCATTTAAATTGTCTCGACCACAATTAAACTGTGTCGACCACATTGCGATCTTATCATTTTTCACGATCTTACAAATTTTTGACTAGAAGAAAATAAGAAAGGAATAAAAAGAATACTTAATAAAGTGATAGAGACGATAAGACAATCTTTAAGCTTAAGCTTAAGTGCTAATCTCTGTACTTAAGCTTAAACATTAAAATTTGTATAAAAAAGTATGAAAATTTTTTTGCTGCTGTGGGATTCGAACCCACGTGTTCGGGATTTGCGCCTTGACGCTTTAGCCACTGATCTAAACGGTTGATTGCTACAAAGACGAAAATCTTTACGTCTTTTATCTACATTGTTTTTAAGCATTTAAATCAATGCTGTTGAATGATTCCCACAGCGGAAAATTTTTCA